ACTGAGGGTTCTAGAGGGGAGGGGGTGGGGGGATGAGTGAGCCTGGTGATGGGTATTAAAGAGGGCACGTACTGCATGGAGCACTGGGTGTTATGCACAAACAACGAATCATGGAACACTTCATCTAAAACTAGTGATGTAATGTATGGTGATTAACATAACATAACAAAAAAAACCCCACACAAAAAACCAATTGCTAGTTTATTAAAAATGACACACAAAGAATTCCAGAACCAGAGTACATGTTTCACAGCTATTGCTTTGTTTTCTTACCTTGGATGTTGTACAGTCGGACCCTATGGGTAACATGTTCCAAAAAGCAAGTCACGTCTGAGTAAAACCTTCCACGTTGCACTCTGACAAAGGGCAGTGTTGTGTAAACATAAGGCTGAGGAGGAAATGACATTTTTAAGAAAAAATTTCAGCTTTTAACTTTTCCAAGGGATGTTTATTATCATTTCCCAAATGGCAAATACATACCACCTGATATTTGCAATCTCAAGTGAAAACAAAACCTTACAAGGTATCAGAACAGGCGCATGCTATAAAAATGGAGTATAAGGTTTTTCATTAGACAAAAAGTGCTGAAAATAGAAAATAAAAATGTTTACAACTTGACTGGCCTAGGTGATCTACAAACATTCCCTCCCAGCTATAAAAATTTCTAATTAGGGCGCCTGGGTGGCTCAGTTGGTTGAGCAACTGCCTTCGGCTCAGGTCATGATCCTGGAGTCCCGGGATCGAGTCCCGCATCGGGCTCCCTGCTCTGCGGGGGGTCTGCTTCTCCCTCTGACCCTCCCCCCTCTCATGTGCTCTCTCTCATTCTCTCTCTCAAATAAATAAATAAAATCTTTAAAAAAAAAAAAGTCTTAAAAAAAATTTCTAATTAAAACCCTTCTATATTGTCCATGTGCTATTTATTAGAAATACCATTCATTCTACAGCAGTGACATTTTCCCAGGCAAACGTTTATTATAACCGTGGCCCCCTAATGTTCAGGGGTCGGGCAGGTGGCAAGGATGACCACAGGGAGTCATCTAAGCAAACAGAAAGCAGGATTCAGAGAATTGCTTAATCACACTTAGGTTTACTAGTCTATAAAACACACTGCCCTTTTACTAGAAAGAACTGAATATAAAGCAAATTTACAAACTTGAAAAAACTATGGCAACCACTGGTTTAAGGTTTCGTCATTTCGAATCTAGTTGTCAAGAAAAATCAGGAACAGAACATACTTCTGTGACATAGGAACACATTGAAAGCATTTATGAAGAATTATATTTTCTCTTTTTTTTTGAAGGAATTATATTTTCTTAAGCATTACAGGCTGCAGAAGCTCAACAATGGCATGACGAGCTAGGCTTGCATTGCGAACTACTTAAGTAGCATCAGATTTTCAGAACTGTGAAATTTTCTTCCAAATGTACCTCTCTGGTTCTAGAAAAAATATTCTGAAATTAATATAATGCATTAAGAGTTTACAAAGTTCTTGGACCTAATTTTACCATATAGCTAAAAAGTAAGGGAAGAACATGAAAGCTGGCATGGGGATTTCTGGGCTCCTACCTGTTTCTGATGCACCCACCTGCCTCCCTGATAGTCTTTTATTTTCTCTTTGTAAATATATGATAATTCTCTTGGTTTTTTAATTTAATATTAGAGCTATTTAAAGATAGAATAATTTTAAATAAATTAGTCACAATTGCCCATGCATAATATTCCAGAAGTATTGTTATTTTTCATTTTTTCTTTGGTATAAGAACAGTCAATCAAAACCAAATTCCTGGGGTGCCTGGGTGACTCAGTCGGTTAAGCGTCTGCCTTTGGCTGGGGTTATGATCCCAGGTTCCTGGAATCAAACCCCACGTCGGTCTCCCTGCTGAGCAGGGAGCCTGCTTCTCCGTCTCCCTCTGCTGCTCCCCTTGCTTGTGCCCTCTCTCTGACTCTCTCTCTCAAATAAATAAATAAAAATCTTAAAAAAAAAAAAAAACAACCCCAAACCCAAATTCTTGTCCAATTGAGAACAGACTGATACAGCTTATACTTAGGATCCACTACCCTTCCTAGAACGGCTACTATGAGCTGTAGTTTACCTTTAATTCCTCACTGATTAAAAAAAAAATCGAAACAACAAAAAACTAGACTCCTTAGAACGGTCAATGCTATTCTTTAAAATCTATTATTTGGGGCGCCTGGGTGGCTCAGTCGTTTAGCATCTGCCTTCGGCTCAGGTCATGATCCCAGGGTCCTGGGATCGAGCCCCGCATCAGGCTCCCTGCTCAGCGGGAAGCCTGCTTCTCCCTCTCCCACTCCCCCTGCTTGTGTTCCCTCTCTCACTGTCTCTTTCTCTGTGAAATAAATAAATAAAATCTTAAAAAAAAAAAAAGTCACGTTCTCCATCAGCTAAAACCTTATATGTATTACAGTGCACTGGAGCTTAAACTGAGGGAATGCCACACATCAATGTTTGTATCCTAAAGGCACATGCACAGTCTTCTAACGAGGTAAGCACTAAGAACTGGTAGTGTATTCCCCAAATGCTTTCTCAGGATGCATAAAGCCATTCTGTTTAAAGCAAAACAAGACTAAACACAGTAAATAAGTTTGGGAAACATTGGGTAAAGCAAAATTTTAATGTTTCAACAATTCATCATTGTGGGATTTCCCAGAGCCTCTAATTTTCTAACATGCCCGTATTTTATTATCACTGAACCGGACCATCACTTAGAAATCACAGTTTTCTACTCTGGTATCATTACTACTGTTTCAGGCAGATACTATCATGTTTGTCAGTGAAGTTTGATCTATACATATGGGCCCTCATACTTACCCTTTGTTCATTTTTTTCTCCTACCTACCTTAACTACAACATAGAAATAGGCAGAATTCTAAATATTTCTGTAACTGATCTCATTACCATTTCTTCTCTTGCACATAGCCCCATTATCCACTTTTAGGCTGAACATCCATCACAAACACTGTCCCCCTCTAATTCATTTTTTCATGCCATGATTAGAATTAACCTTCAAATAGCCATGATGTATTCTTGTTCTCCAGGTGATAATTATATAAACATTCAATCTACTGTTGAGAGCAGTACTCTAAGTAAGAATCACCTTTAGATGGCAGAAGAGAAAGCTAGAAGGGTCTGGACCCCTGTCGGCACTGTAGAGCTGCTATACCTGAACTGGGGACCTGCAGACTTCTTCCACGTGGCATAAAAATAAGTAGGATAGGATTTATTCAGTTTTAAGTTGTTATTACTAGCAGCCAAATGCAATCCTGAACTCATACACTTGTTCACAGGGACACTTCTGCCAACATTTGAATAAACAGTCAACAGTCTAAGAACAAGAGAGCACCCAATGCTAGCTGCCTCTTTGTTTATAACTCTCTAACTTGTGTTTTGAAATTTCCTACTTAAAATGTCTATGCTAATGACTTGATAATTGTGTATGACTTCTCAATGAAGTGTGAAGTGCTCGCAAAGCAAATTTACAAATGTCAAGTATAATTTGAGAATTATTGTCTTTTTTCTCTAAGATGCAATTTTGTATGGTGATGTTTTTATAAGCTAAAAGCATAACCAAACATATGGAGGAACTAATGACAGCCCTTCTGGAAAGGTTATGAGATAGAAAATGTTCAGTTGCAAAAACTCAATGACCTGTACCCAAGTCTCTTTCAATATGGCAGCCAGAGAGAGAGCAGGTAGACAGTATAGGAGAATGACTTCTTCATTTCCTCTTAGGAACTCTTTTCTGAATATAAGCCTCACTTTTAAATTCAATAAACCAAGAAGACAGGAGCAGGTGAAAAGGAAAAAAATGGAGGATCTGACCTTATTTTAAAAAATGCCTTCTGTGGGAGAAAAACCAATTATCATTATCAGCCAATGAATGTTTTCCATTTTAAGCCCAGCTCAACCTCAACAGATGCCAAATACATTTGCCACAAGAAAACTGAGAAGATATTCAAGATGCTACCATGAATATATTTTCAAGGATTCAAGTCAACTAATGAAACCTCAAGAATTTGTTTTTCAAATATCTAGAAAGGCAGTCAAAATACTATAACTAAAATTTTAATTAACACTTATAATGATTAGTGATATCAGTTGTGGATCAATCTGTAATGTTGACTTTATACGTTGTATACACTTTTAACATACGGGAGAGAGCATTTATTAAAAAAAGAGGTTCACTTCTTAAATCTGTATTATAAGAAAATCAGAGCACACTTTAACAATTTTAAAATATTATTGAAGTACACCATTTTTGATAGGAAAAAAATCTGGAAGAAATAATAACTAAGCCATAATGAAATAATAGTCAAAACTCCTTCCCCAACATAGGAATCTCCTCTACAATGATCCTAATGAATGGTTACCCAAACTAGGGCATGATGATGGAAATCTCACTATCACAAAAGGTAAGCCTTTTGATTATTGGGAAGCACTATTTACAAAGTCTCCTGCTGTTCTGAGCTAAAGCCTGTACTCACTGTTTCCAATCCTGCAATGTGAAAATAACTGAGCTTCCCCTCCCTCACTCATCTCACAGACCTTCTAAGAGTTGAAGATGGTTTTGATATCAATACCCAAGCCAACCCTTCTCATCCCAATTCCTTATATCATCTATATATGTCAAAGTTTCTAGGTTCTTCTACTTCCTGGCTAAACTCTAGGCTGAGAACAACTGGATATGAAATAGGATGAAATTAAACTGCTATACAATCAAGTATGGGTCTTTATCTCCTTGGATTACAGCTATGATTTATTTGATACCAAATCCCTGGTCAACAAGGTAACCCCAATTACCACATTATACTTGGGAGAAAACAGAATCAGCTTTATAATAATGTTTTACTACTCCATTTGCAGAAATGCACTGCAATAAAAAGTTAGGACAGCTAGTACATTCTCCATACAATTCTTGAAAAATGCTTTGAATATTGATGTTGTTTTTCTATAGCAATACTTATAAGGGATGTCATTATTGATATGGTCTGATGTACATTAACAATTTCATCAAAGATATAAGCCTGTGACCCAAAATTAAAAAAAAATTGTTTTATAATCACTTTTTAATAATTATATTACCTGGTACCATAATCCACAACCACCCAATCTTTTGCAGTTCCTGTGATAGCATCATGATGTTGAAACAGTCCCAAATTTCTTCTGGCTTCTGTCAGTGCCATGTAATGGGATGATGAAAGAAATTTACTTATCTTGTATTTCTGAGCTTGTTTCAGGGCGAAATAGTAAAGAATTTCAGCAGCCCTAATTGTATAAAACAGTCATTAATTCTTATTTCAAAACAAACATTTACTATTTAAAATATGTGGTACTGATACAATTTTTAAATGCATTTTTTAAAAAATCCACATTTCAGCACAATTGATAAAAAAGATATTGATAATAAACATTCCTATAAAACCATCTAGGTATCCATCTAATATATCTAGATTATCAATCATCAGAGAACATCATGTCTAAATTGATATAAAGGACGCTTGTTCTAGATGGTCCTGGAAAGAAGCCAGTACCCACTGGCAGCGAGATAGGTGTACTTATGTATAACATAGTGGAAAAAAAAAAAAAAGCTCGAAACAGCAGTAAAAAGTGGATAATGGTTGCTGCCCTTTCTTCTCTCCAAGATCAGCCCAGACACATACCAGGAACTTCATCACCAGAAAGCCATTCACTCTCACATACATACATTAAAGGAGAGACGGTGCAGAAATGGTCACATGAGTGGGAGACTAACAGTGAAGGAGAGGCAGAAAGCGATGGCCTGACAGCTCAGTGACAACAGCTAGTCTCTGTGCTGAATGAGAACATTCAACAACTAGAGGGAAAGTAACAATATAAACTGAAAGGTGATAAAACATATGCTGTCGCTTCTCGTTTATCTTAAAGAAAAAACACTTGGGCTTACGAGTAGTTTTTGAGCAAGAATATGGGGACTTATCATTTTCATGCTTTATTTTTTTCATCAGAGGATATGGTTCAAGACAGGTTTCGAAAAAGTTCTTTAAAAAAGAGATATGGCTTGGGGTGCCTGGGTGGCTCAGTCGTTAAGCGTCTGCCCTCAGCTGAGGTCATGGTCCCAGGATCCTGGGATCGAGCCCCACATGGGGCTCCCTGCTCCGCGGGGAGTCTGCTTCTCCCTCTCCCACTCCCCCTGCTGCGTTCCCTCTCTCTCTGTGTCTCTCTCTGTCAAATAAATAAATAAAATCTTTAAAAATAAATAAATAAAATCTTTAAAAAAAAAAGAGAGATGGCTTGATGAAGTAAAAAGTTTAAGAAGGTTCTTTATGCCAAACATATTAAGAAGGATGGAGAGAAAACCAAGGCAGCTTGAAAATGTATCACAATATAAGGAAAAGGACAAATTTAAAGTACTCAAAAAAAAAAAAGAATTGTTTTAAATTTTGAAATAATTAGAAGATACTAAATAATCTCTGCCTTTAAATTCTAATCTTTCTAAAATTCATGGCAGGAGAAACACTAAGTTTGAATTAAAGAAATTGTGTATATATGTCCATCTATACCCATAGCACATATTCCTGGCTTTGCAAAGAGTACCTATACATATAGATATCCCAAAATGTAAAAAGGGGGTTTAAAAAATATTTTCTTCTTTATACTCCTCTATCCTATCCAAATGTTTTACAAATGAGCATCAAGATGAAATATCTATAATCAGACAATAAACTTATTTTCAAGTAAGTTGATTACATTTTGAAATTTGTCATTATTATATGGTTTTTTGTCATTTTATTTTAAAGCAGAATTTTCAAAATATATTATTACTCACACTAAGTACTTCACCTTAAATATGTTCAATAAATTAAAATTGAATCAATATTTGTAACTCTTTGTCACTAAAAAATAGTTGACACTTTTAAAAAAGTGCAGTAGTCCAAAAGAATCTCTACATTACTTAGTACTTTCTCTGTTTTTATCATAGGTAGTTTAGAGTAACATAATAGAGAATTAATATTCTATTGGGCAAGAATGCATCAATCTCTCTAATATAGAAATACTATTTTATTACAAATACAGGAATACGTATCCATCTGGCACATTTGTGAATATCCCAAAAAAAAGGCAAAGGTCAGGCTTTTGAAATAATGCTGACAGCATGAAACAGTAAAAATAAAAAAAAACACACTACTATACCAAAGTACAACTCTGGGAGAAATTCATGATCTTTATAAAAGGGCTTTCCAAAATGTACTATTTCTACCAGTACGGAGAAGAAGGTAGATATAACATGACTTTTTATTTTTAATACTGAGATTCATCATGAAAATTAATCATCATGAATTCATGATCTGAACTAAGCTGAAAGTGAACTCATCCTGAAAATGAATTAAGCTCCCACGCTACACACACATAGAGAGAGCCCCAGGAGCCCCCAGGGTGGTTCATCCTTACCAAAAAGCAACAGGACCCACAAAGATAGCTACTAGCCACGTGTGATTATTTATTTACATTTAAATCAACTCAAATTAAAGGAAATTAAGAGTTCACTTCCTCAGCCACACTGGTCACATTTCAAGTGCTCAACAGTTACATGTGGCAAGTGGCCATACTAAACAGTGCAGAAAACAGAAACAGAAGATTTCTACCACTGCAGAAAGTTCTGTTGGACAGTGACTGAAAGTTCTACTGGACAACGCTGGTTAGAGCGTTTTTGTTTTCTCCTGACTTTTCTGCTTTCTCCCTGTCACTATGCTTTTTCAGCCAATCACTCTGCCGCCATCAGTTCTCATCTCTTTCAAGTTTTGCTCTTCTAAGCAGAGAATCACACCTATAGAAATATGTTTCAATAAATGAGAACTGAGGTGGAGCCTCTGAAGTTCTCCCACATATAAAATACATTAGTTTTAGATTGTGTACTTTGAGGCCCACATTTTAGCCACAGAGAGGCCCTGTTTGTTCCTTGTGACCCTTGCTTGTTTCCAGCAATTTAGTCTGTCTGGCTACTGACCTGCAGACACACATAACAATGCCACTGGATATTATCACGGTGTGCAAACAATACCAGTAATTAATTAGAAACATATAAAACATAAGATACAGGAGAAAGTCTAATCAGATAAACTGCTTTTTTCAGAACAAAAGCCCATATAATAATCTGATTATGCACTGGAGACATAGCTCTGATTGCATTAAAATTTCACAATTACATTAAACACATCCCAATACTGCATACATGTTGTATATTATGCAAAACTCTATGCTATGCTATGTGCTATGATCACATAAAAAAGGTGAATAATTAATGTAGCTTTCTAAACGTAAATTTTGTACCTTAGATGGGATTCCAATATCCTATCCATTCGTTTGTAGAAGGGTCTGGATGTAAAATAGCCGCTCCAGTAATGATCGTCTCGGTCAGCATAAGTGAAAAAATCTCCACTTAGAACAGGGAACATGGATTGGCTATTCTTTCTAATGGTTACATCTTCTTTATCCAGTGCATCAAAATAATCTGATAAAGTCCCAAACTGTATCTAATAAAAAAAAAAGTGACACTTATTCATCTCTACCTTAAAATTACTTCTAGCACTAAAAGGAAAAGTTAACAGTAAATATTTAAGATGCGCTTTCCAGTTAAGATGAAATTCTAGCTCAGATTTTACAAAACTCAAAAGCAGGGGGAAAAATATACAGTAGCTCTTTCACTTGCATCAGGTCCCAAAGTAAACTAAAATAAAACTTACACCCCTAAGCAGTTAGAAGAACTACTGAGATATACAAATCTGTGGATCTGAAAACACCTTACCCATCTCCAGAATTTCAAAGTGTGCAAGGGTCAGGGAATAGAATAATTCAGAGATGAATAAAAGATGGGAGGAAGCAGCAAAAATAAAACATTTACATACAGTTTGGTTAACCATTAAGTATTTTCATATGTCATATGCACATACACTCCCCTGGCCTCCCCATCCCCCTTGCTTGAGCTCTCATAAGGGAGACTTTAAGAACAGCAGGTCATTAAAAAAATGGACTTGCTCTACCAGCAGGTAACATTGAATAGAAGTAAAACACAAAGAGTGACAAGAACTGCAAGGTTGACTGCTCAAATGAAAAGGTCTTTTGACTAATGATTTAAATTACCAGAACATAAATCCATTTTTATGAGCCCAAACTATTCCATAAATCAAAGGAAAAAAGAAGTATTATACCACACCATGTAAACAGATATTAAAAGGCAGTGTTTTTAGAGATAAACAGAGAATTTAACAGGGAATGTATTTCTTTGAATATTAAGATGCTATTTTTGTTGTTTCCTACCACACACAGATACACACACACACACACACACACAGATACTAAAAGCTACTTTGATTCAATGTGGCAGAAAAATAATTAAGAGCAGTTAAAAACAGGGGTGCCTGGGTGGCTCAGTCATTAAGCATCTGCCTTTGGCTCAGGTCATGGTCCCAGGGTCCTGGGATCAAGCCCCACATCGGGCTCCCTGCTCTGCAGGAAGCCTGCTTCTCCCTCTCCCACTCCCCCTTCTTGTGTTCTCTCTCTAGCTGTGTCTCTGTCAAATAAATAAAATCTTAAGAAAAAAAAAAAGAGTAGTTAAAAACAGTGAGTAGCACTCTAGAAGAGTGGTTAAGAACAGCACAGAACCTGGATCCAGATAGCATTGGTTTGAATTCCATCTCTACCATTTACCTAACAATGTGGTTTTGAGCATATTTATATATTGTCTCTGTGTCTGTGTTACAGCTAAGAGGGATCTAAGTAAAATGCTTAGAAACACAACTGGGAAATAATGGTCTAAGTTTTAGCTATCATTTTTCTATTGCAAAGGCAAAATTTCAGCTGGAAACATGATGATATTAGTAAGACAAATAGAAGTTATCATGTACCTGTGACACAATAAATTTTATAACAGCAAAATAGATAATTATTTCTAAATCCTTATGTTTACATCACAGAAAAGCAATTTTCAATAATATTACCTAGTCTTATCTTGGCTTCACCAAATACAATGTATCTTGGGCAAGTTAATATATTTGTGCCTCAGTTTCCTCATCTCTAATGGGGATAATTATAGTACCTACCAGAAAATGTTCAGAGAATTAAATAAGTTAACTAAAGTGAAGCACTTTAAAAAGTTAATAGCAGGGGTGCCTGGATGGCCCAGTTGGTTAAGCACCTGACTCTTGGTTCCAGCTCAGGTCATGATCTCGGGGTCATAAGATCGAGCCCCACATTGGGCTCTGTGCTGGGCATGGAGCCTGCTTAAGATTCTCTCTCTCCCTTTCCCCATCCCCACGCCCCCGCACCCCCAAAGTGCATGCTCTCTCTCTAAAAGAAAACGTTAATAGCAAATAGTAAGTACTCAAAAATTAAGTGTTATTTATTACTCACTTAACACATTCTAAGAAGCAGAATATAAGTGTGTGTGTATAACCATGAGGGTCACAAATGCAAAGAAATACAGCATTAACTTCAGGCCCAATAGTACAGACAAGCTCAGGGAAGTATACTGATAAAAGTAAAAAATATTCAACAATCTAAATTTCTGACTCACTTTCTCATCTATATAAAAAGGGATTTCTATGAGATAACAAAAATTCCCTTCAGTTTCAGATTTTAGGGAACTGTGGCATGCTACAGAGTTAATATTCACAACAAAGTATACCCTTTTAGAATATTGTAACTAATTTTTGGTATTAGCCAAGATGAAAGTATTTCCTTCTTGGCAATTGCCCCAGGCAAAGTTCATTTAAGTAGCCTGGTGAGCATTCTCACAAATTTAATTCAATCTCAAAGGACTGATATATAATCCTGTATCTATCCTAGAGTAGTTTCAAAAGAAATTATTTAAGAGTGAATTTTTCTATAGTCTCTTGGTAGCTCAAAGTACGTATTCCAAATAACCAAAAAAAAAGGTAGATGTTTTTTACTTCAAAAGGCAACAAATTATATCTTTAACATAACCTTAATCTTAAACATAATCAAACTCCTCTATCAGAGCAACATATGAGAAAAATACATAAATTGTTAAATAAGTGATGACCAATGGGAAACTGACTGGCTTGGTTGGTACAATGTCAATTTTTTAGCCATCTAAATTCAATTGCTTACTTGGGTTTTTCCTTTCATTAAAAGAAAATAATAAACTGAAGCTTCTGGCTTGGACAAAATAACTTCAAACATCCTACAGAGAACAGATACTAGATAAACCACAGAGAGAAAAAAAGCTTTTGTTTGAAGGTATCTAAGGACAATCAAAGCAGCCGACACTTGAGTGACAAAAATTCCAGAAAGAAAGGAAATGCATGAAGGTTACTGGGTACAAGGTTAGAATGCAAAAGTCAAGTGTATTTTTATACATGGAATATACCACATTCATGGATGGCCTAATATTTGTAAAGAAGTTAACGGTACTCACATTGATCTATAGGTTCAATGCAATGCCAATCAAAATTCCAACTTTTTTTGGTAGAAATTTAAAAATTGATCTTAAACCTATACAGAACTATAAAGAAAACCAATGCAATCTTGAGAAAGAAAACAAAATTAGAAGACTTATGCTATCAGAAATTAAGATCCATTCTAAAACTATAGTAATTAAGACAGTCCGAGACTAAATAGACAAAATTGAATAGAGTCTATACAAGAGCCACACAAATAGTTTCACTCAAAATTAATGAAAAAGATGATGCTGCAGTAAAGTGGGCACACTGGTCTTTTCAATAAATGGTGGTAGATACCCATATGGGCAAAAATGCACCTTGATCCCTGTCTTCATACAATTCACAAAAAAATCAATTCCAAACAGATTACAGACCTAAATATTGAAGGTAAAACAATAAAGCTTCTGGAGGACAGCTTCATAGGAAGCGTATTTTCATAATTATGGGGTATAAACAAAAATTTCTTAAGCAGAACATGACATGGAAAGGAAAATACTGTTATATTAGATTTAATTAAAACAAAGAATTTCTGTTTATCAAAAGACAGCATTAAGAAAGAAATTAAAAAAAAGGCTCACATAGTGGGAGACAATATTTGCATAACTTTTATCTGAAGGAAGACTCAAACCAAAATATATAAAAGAGTTATAAATGGTACAAAATAAACAGACAACCCAATTTAAGGAAAAGTCATCAAAAGATTTAAATAGTCACTTCACAAAAGAGGATACCTAAATGGCAATAAACTTATGAAAAGAGGTTCAATTCATTAACTACCAGGGAAATATAAAATAAAACCATCATATCGATCATAAAAAAATAAAAATGAAAAAAAAATCCTAACAAAAAATCTGAGTAAGGAAGTACAGCAACTGAAATTGTCATACAATGCAACGACTAGTGCATCTATTTTGGGATACCATTTGGCAATATCTACTGAAGTTGAACATGTGCATACCCAGTGACCAAAAATTTCTATCCCATTTTATACCCACATAAATTCACATACATGTATATAAAAACATGCACAAAATATTCAAAATGGCTTTATTTGTAATACACAAAAACTGGAAACAACCCAAATGTCCATCAATAATACAATGGACAAATCGTGATGTATTTATCAAATGGATATTAAAGATAATATACAGTATTAAAATTGAATATACTGTGGGGCGCCTGGATGGCTCAGTTGGTTAAGAAATCCAACTCTTGATTTTGGTTCAGGTCATGATCTCAAGGTCATGAGAATGAGCTTCACATTGGGCTCCGCACTCAGTACAGAGTCTGCTTGAGAGTCTCTCTCTCCCCTCCCCCTGCCCCCCCCCCCCCCGCTCATTCAAATCATTGCCAAATCTTACAAAAGTAACCTTATTTTCCCTTCTATCATCATGGTTAGTGTTTTTTCTTTTGAAATGATACAAGAAGGAAATCTTAAGTATGTGACCCTGAGACCATGACCTGAACCAAAATCAAGAGTTGGATGCTTTTTAAAGTGACTTTACAAATTGCCCTACTGGGCAAAGAAGGAAATAGGTAAAATACAAAAATCAGTACTTTAATTCTTTAGAATGAGTGGTAGATCCTTTTATGGATCTCAAAACCATTCACTAGGAAGATGTACTTAGGGATAAAATACCCATCTGCATATGCCATCCCCTAAGTAAATGTTTGTGTATCAGCTTCATCTTTGAGGAGATTATAGAGATGATTTAAACATAGACCTAAAGTTCATAATTTGGTAGAAATTCAGTTGTAAGTATCTTGAATACACCTGGCATTTTATTTAAGTTTATTTAACTATTTAATATTATTTACATTTACTTAATAAACTTGAATTCTCCCTACATAAAATGTGACCTATCATCAGCTTTCTAATTTCCTAAACAGTAACATCTCTTCCTTTCTGTAGTATTTCCACAAATATTCTACTGTCTCATAGGTTAGTATGTGAATATAATAAACACATTGGGTAATTTTCTCATATAGGGTCTAATATAGGACTCTTGTTTGAATCCTGACTCATGAAACATATGCTTAAAAAAAAATGCCTGTATGTGATCAGGAAAATCTGAATCTATCTGGATATATGATAATATTGAATTATTGTTAATTTTTTAGATATAATAGTGGCATTATGATTGTATTTTTAAACAGAGTCCTTATCATTTAGATACATAATGAAATGGTTACAGATGAAACTACATGACTACTATTTCCTCCAAAATAATCCCTGGGAGAGGGTGAGAGAGGACAGTGAGGCACAGCTGAAGTGAGAGTGACCTCGAGTTGATCAATGTGGTAGCTGAGCTATGGATATGGGGAGGCAGGGGTCAGGGGAAGGGTACTTAAGTTGTTCTCAAAACTTTAGGGTACATTCAAAATTTTCCAAAAGGGAAACAAAAAAAGAGAGAAAGAACTACAGGTAAATGATTAATTTTGGAAGTCTTCTCAACTAAGAAAGATGCTAGTGTATTCTCTGGACACAAGACATTAATTTGCAAAATTCATGACACGTTCATCTGCATTGCCCGTCACATTACTAAAATCACAAGGATGCAGCCGTCAGAGAAACAAACTTTTGATGCTGGTAGAAAAACAGGACATCACTGAAAACTGAAGATCACAACTTAGTAGGTGCATATTTACAACTACATAAAAGTAAAGTCTCTTTAATGCTGTAGGAATGGGGGGAAAGGGACAACTTCAGAAATGCAACTATAGTACTAGATAATTTTCCTCTTTAAGAACTACACTCTTACATACAAACTACATATTCTAGGAAATATTGGGATGTGGGACAAAGAAACTAAGGCTGTTGTGTTTTAGCCTCATTTAATAATGAAGGCTCAACTTCAAATACAGTATCATAATTAAATATTTTCAAATTACCTTAACATTATACTCAGGATGAGAATTCATATAATCAAAAAGCAGCTGATAATTCTTATACTGATGATCCCATTCTATGCGTTCACAGTAGCGAAAATCATCTCCTAGTGGGGCCAGGACAACTGTAGTACGGAAGAGCTTTGACTTCTTTCGGTACTGATCTAGAAGCATCTCAGCCCTACAAAAGAAAAAGGAAAATAAGAACAGTACTAAGAAAAGGACAATGGGGCAACTCATTAAAAAGTGTATTATGTTAAAAGAAATTGTTGTATATTTTACCTGTATTCTAGGTTAGTATGATTTATAAGGCAGATTTTTTAAAACTACTATACTAATTTTCATTATCCACTTAAAATATTCATAAATTTTGGGGTGCCTGGGTGGCGCAGTTGGTTGAGCATCCAGGCTTTTGGTTTTGGCTCAGTCATGGTCTCTAAGTCATGAAATCAAGCCCCGCATTAGGTCCTGTGCTCAGCGCAGAGTCTGCTTGGGATTCTTTCTCACTCTCCTTCTGCCCCTCCCCTCTGCTCTTTCTCTCTAAAATGGATAAATAAATCTTCTAAAAAATATATTCATAAATTCTTACCAGAGAGAAAAACCCACAGGTTTCCAATGGATTATCCTTAGAGAAATAAAGTCACATACCAACTTTGACATAAAATTACTGGGAACATCAATGGCCTCCTGAAGCCCGGCCATAGACACTGGATCCCAGATTGCCTGTATTTTAAGATAATTTAGTCCAAGAAGACAATAAGGATTTCTTATCTATATAAACTTTGAAGTTGGCTTTGACTCAAGATGCCTTTCTCTAATTTGATCTAAACTTGCCTGATTACACATAAAAAAAATTAATAGTTTGAATGAAACCAATTATAGAACCTGATTTCCTCTTCAAACGGAAGAAAAACAACTCACTTAACACCTGCCATCAATAAACTGGATATCTGTCAGTGTCCTTCTCAGGGCTGATCAACAGATAAAGTTTTGGAGATCAAATAGCTTTTTTGATTTCTACCTTCCTCAGATCTAACCCATGAGTCCAAAGGTCAGCTAAATACTAAATGTGCTGATGTGTTTTTATATTTCATATTATTCTAGTATTCTGCAGAAAACCTTTGGGGTTGAACTGCTGAATGCTGAACCGGGGTACCATTTGAGGAAGTCTAGGAATACAAAGTATTTAAGAGGAATGGCTTATAAAAATGAAATTAAATAAGCGGATGAAGAACTCAGAGTAGTTCTCTATGTTTGTAATGCCAAGCTTAAGAAATCAGTGATAAATGACTAATGTGCTTTTTACCCAGTATTCCAATTTTCATTTCTAGGGTTATCGAGAAGTTCCAATTCACAATATAAAAACTTACGAAAGAAACTCAAAGACCATCAATAATGGAACGAAGTATTTTATAAAATTAAAAACATTTAACTAAATTTAGAAATTCACATGATCTTTTTATACTGATAGTCTCTGAAACTGCTTTGCAAATATTAAATTATTAGCAAAATTCAATAACTTGGTGAGTAAAATATAACCATAATGTTCTTACATAACATAGTTTTCTGAGATTAGCGTTCAGTAGAGTACTTAATTTTTACTAATAATTTACTAATATTCCACACTTAACCAAAAATAACCTTGGATTATTAGTTATAATTAAAAAAATACATGTCTAATGAGACTAATCAAATAGAAAGAAAAATAAGAGAAAAAAACCAAACATATAAATCAGATATGAGAAAGATACACTATGACTGAGCATCCAATCAGATTCCCCTAGGCAACCAGCATAGAAAAGGATAAGTGATCATTTAAATGAATGCCAAGGTTTACTACTAGATATACCATATCTTGTGTGTATATGCATATGACACATAAGAGGAAAGAATCACAAACATTAAGTGTGAGTCTTCCATTCAGCATCTGTCCTAACTCCCAAGCTCCTGCTCAGAAGGTGTCAACACGGAATTCAAGAGACCAATCTATACTACCTGGTAGAGAGTGGATATTCACTAAATACATTGTACACTAATGCCAAATGAAATGACCAATATCACACTTGAAGATGTGCAGCAGCAATCTGCTCTTCACTCCTACCAGGTTAGAAATGTCAACTTAACTAGAACCATTTGAGGGAGTCACTGTATGGATGGGGCATGGGGGGAGGGGGAGCATTGAGCAGCCGGGGGAGGGGGCCCTCGGGCGGGGGTCTTGTGTGAGGAGGAAGTTGGGTAAGGGGACCCCAGGCAGTGGTGACCTCACTTCCCTGACAACAGAGCCCAACAGAATTTGGAACCCCGGTAACCAGGCACCCACATTCCAGAGACAGCCCCCTGCCCAGCTCATTTCTTTGGAGACCCTCCAACAAAAAGCATGTTCGGGTGCTGCTTCCCCAAATCTGGACGCTGCAGGCTGAAGAAAGAGCGCCCTGCAAACACTGTCCCCCGCTGGGGATGTCGAATCAGGGCTCCCCACAGCCTCTGGCCATTTGGCCGGAAGGACAGAAAGGTGACACCAGGAGGCCCAGAGCCTGCCACCCAGCCCCACACGCTCTGATCTGCCTGTGCAGCCCCAGGCCCCCCTCCGTGTGTGTGTGTCTGTGCGTGTCTGTGTGTGAGTGTGTGTGTGCGTGCGTGTGTGTCTCTGTGTGTGTGTGTGTGTAAAGAGGGGTCATGCAGGGTGGGGCCACCCTGAGCAGGAGCAGGCTGATGAGGGGTCAGATTCCCAGTGGGCAGGTCATGTTCAAGGTCAAGGCTGGCCGTGTCGGATGGGGTGTGTGGGCGCTGCCCCTTCTACCCAGGGTTTATCCAGATAGCCCTGCAGGGATGGGTCACTGCATCCAGGGTGCAGGGGTGTGCACTCACAGGACTGTGTCTGATCTGGGAGCAGCAGGGGGACTGGGCAGGAGGACAGTGAGGATGGCCCGGCAGGGCTGTGATGCCTCCAGCCAGCTACCCGTCCCTGTCTTTGCAGAAGGCCACGGATGACCTCCCGAGGCGGCTGGCGGACATGCCCTCTTCCCTGACGGAGGGGTTGACCCCACAGGCATCCCCCAAAACAAGTGCTAGGGATTGCCGGGCAAGACCTCCAACACCCCCCAGACCACTGTCCCAGGTGCTTGGTCACCGGACAGTGGTCCAGGAGCCGGAGCCCACGGAGACCGAGCCCGAGGGTGAGAAGGCTGGGGCTGGGTGTTTGTGGTGTGTGGGGATGGGTCGGTGCTGGCCCCACAGGGACGAGCCCCCAGAGGCTGGTGTGGGGCCTGGAGCAACGACTGGGCGCAGAGCATCCAGCGGGTGGACTGCAGTCGGGGAGACACCCCAGGGAGGGCTCCTTCCTGGCTGCGGCTTCTCTGGGAGGCCCTGGGCTGGGTTCTGTCTCCGCAAAGGCCCACGGAGAGCGGGCTCGGGGTGAGCTTTTCTCCTCTCACAGCTGCTCCAGCACCTGAGGAGCTAGAGCCGGTTCCAACTCCATCGGGAGCTCTGGAGGGAGGGGTGGTGCCTGCAGCGACTTCAGGAGGAGACCAGGAGACGGCAGGTGACCCGGCACCCACCCACGGACAGCCTGACGTGGACCAGGAAGAACTGGCACCTGCCCCGGACCCAGCTCCTGCTACTGTTCCTGCCCCTGACCCAGCTCCTGCCCTGGATCCTGCCCCTGACCCAGCTCCTGCCCTGGATCCTGCACCTGCCACTGCTGCAACCCAGCTCCTGATCCTCCTCCTACCCCTTCCCCTGCCCCTGCCAGAGCCACTGCCCCTTCCCCTGCCTGAGCTCCGGTTCCTGCTCCTTCTCCTGCTCCTCTCCCTGCCCCTCCCAGACTCCGCTGCCCCTTCCCCTGACCCTTCCTGAGCTCCTGTTCTTGTCCCTGACCCTGCTCCTGCTCATAACCCTACCCCTGTCAGACCTGCTGCCCCTGCCCCTGCCTGAGCTCCTGTTCCTGCTCATTCTGCCGCTGCCCCTGCCCCTGCGCCTGCCGGAGCTCCTGTTCCTGCTCCTTACCCAGGTCCTGCCCTAGATCCTGCACCTGCCACGACTGCTGATCCTATCCCTCCCCTTGCCCCTGCCCCTGGGCCTGCTCTTACACCTGGCCCTGCCCCTGGCCCTGCCCCTATCCCAACCCCTGCCCCTACTCCTGCTCCCGCAGGGCTCCCAGAGCCACATCCAGAGCCCACAGCCCTGCGGGGAGAGCTCCTTGTACAATTACCCTTAGGTCCATCGCCGGACCCCGACGCCCCTCCGGATTGTTTCATCCCCTCCCCCTATGTTCTTTCTCTCTGGTTCATATTGTTCTAGTTCATATTGTTCATTTTCATGTTCTGTATACTGTTTATTATTTGTTTTAAATAAAATTACTTGTTTTCAACTGAACATATGATGAGCATAAGTACATTCCCAACGCTGTGCCACCACACCCCAGAAGATTGCTGCGGAATATCTCATGTCTCAAAGGAGTCCCCGAACCAGAAGCCCCCCTGCCCATTTCGCCCCCAGCCCATACCCTGGAAACCCCTAAGCTGCTTTCTCTCCTTATTCTTTTACTTGTTCTGGATGTTTCTGTACATGGAATCATGCAATAGGAGCCTTTGTGTCTGCCCACTTATTTTCAAAGGGGACTCGTTTTCTTCTGTTTATTTGTCATAAAATTTCCCTTATTCGATATTGAAATCCCCGATTGATTACAGATCAGATGTAATCATAGAGGCCACTTTAGGAATTATGGGCACAGGGGCGCCTGGGTGGCTCAGTCGTTAAGCATCTGCCTTCGGCTCAGGTCATGATCTCAGGGTCCTGGGATCGAGCCCCGCATTGGGCTCCCTGCTCCATGGGAACCCTGCTTCTCCCTCTCCCACTCCCCCTGCTCGTGATCTCTCTCCCTCTCACTCTCTCTCGCAAATAAATAAAATCTTTTTTTAAAAAAGGAATTATGGGCACAATCTCGGGGCAGAGACCCCTGTACCTGCTGGGACACCACAGCCTGACCCCAGACAGGAAACGGCTGGTTACTCCTGTGGCCCACACAGAAACCAGGGAAACGCAGAAAGCTGGAAGACACACCACAAAGCAAGGCCAGAGAAAGGTTTCACCTGACTCTGGTCCAAACCACGCTCCAAGTCACTGGGTTCCACAGGGATGGAGACCAAACACATGCCAGTCCAAGGGGGAGGATAGGCACGC